AATTATAAAAACTGGAAATTTTTAAGAAAGTTTGTTGAATTTTTTTTTAAGTATTGCATAAAGTTGGAAACTTTGATTTACACGGGTTTTGTTAAAGAATGAACTATATTTTTATAAAAAAATATAACCAAAATTAAATAAAAAAAAATATGTTAAAACTTGTCACAATGTGGTGCGACACACAAATTACACTACACGACAAAAAAATCACCATGAATTAAATAAAACTTTCCCAACGTAGAACTTTATCGTGATTCCAAATATGTTAATGGTTTTCCTGGCTCAGACTTAGTTTCTGAGATATCGATGAAAATATGAAAAAACCCATAGTTGCTACACATTACATCACATATGTACATCGAAAAGTTTTATTTGTCATCCTATCGGTTTTATATTTGAGAGGGATTTGTAAAGCAGACTCCAACAAAAGTTGTTTGTCTTCATAGTCATAAATCACACAAGTGGTTTGCTCACTATAGAAAAAACATGCAGAAAATTTAAGAAAAAGCTCGTTGTTTTACACAAAGTTTCAGTTTCGACCGCATTGAAATCAGAAACAATGTTAGCCTCCCTATCCTAAATAGAATTCTATTACAAAAGTTTTAAGGCTACTAACGCAGCTATTGGATGTGTTTTCGATTTTATACTTTTGATACCATGATTTTTAGGAAACATCTTGAAATGGCTGAGTTTAATACAGAGATAAAAAATAGGTGTTAACACAGAAATTATAAAATTGTATCTATTTCATGACATCCACCAAAATATTTTGGTTTAACTCGCGGTTAAACGCGAGCTGGACGGCGTTGAAAATGTATCTAAAAATCGATTTTTTTACAGAAGAAAATGTATTTAAATTTCCTGCATATCTTTTTCTATAGTCACCAAACCACATGTGTGATTTATGGCTATGAAGGCAGACAGCTTTTGTTGGAGTCTCCTTTAAAAATCTCTCCCAGATATAAAACCGATAGGATGACAAATACAACTTTTAGATGCAACATATGTGATGTAATGTGTCGCAACTATGGGATTTTTTATATTTTCACCGATATCTCAGAAACTAGGTCTGTCCCAGAGAAACCATTTTGATATTCGGAATCAGGATAAAATTCTACGTTAGAAAAATTGTTTGTCATTCTTGGTGGTTAAAGTTGATCAAAAGGTGTTGAGTAGTGTTATTCGTTCAGATTAGATCTCAACCCTCATGATCTCTTTCAGGGAACAAAAGTTACACGAAACGAAAGCTAATGATCCTCTTCTTAACATATTAAAATGGATTGTCGCCGGAATTCCGCGAATTCTGAAAATGCGGATAATTTACTATTCAAATAGCTCAAATTATTTTTTTCTAACAGTTGTTCTTAATTTAAAGTTTATTGAAGATTTTAGGCGAATTTATAAAAACAACCAACATTTTAACATGCAAAATTCATTCATACACCAATATTTTGTAAGCATTTTACAAATTTTTCTTCATCTATTATTTATATATTTGTATAGAAGATTTACGATTAACATCATTGAAATATATTCATATTTGATCGATTGATAAATTATAGTAAAAAAATAGTATTGCTAATAATGAAATTTTGTGTAATATAGGATAGAGAATCATAATTACACGAAAAATGTGACACTTCATTAAAAAAATTTTTATATTTAGTACTTGAAAAAGATCAATGGAAAAAATCATTGTAATATATTAATTCATGGATATATACGTATAATACTATGAATGTATGTATGTACATACATATAAGCAGAATAATACTAGTTGTAAACTTTTAAAATATAAATGAATGTCGAAAAATATCAGCATTTTTTTTTAATATTTATAATTACTTTAGTCGACGGAGTACCTTCCAAGCCGTCGGAAATTAGGACGAACTGACCCGACGTGAATAAAGAATTATTTATGGTACCTCTCTATACATATAGGCATTTCCTTCGATACGTACGTTCCATCCTGGCACACTCTTTTGGATACAAATTACAGCAGGCTTTGAATATGAACAACAGCGTTCGAAGTTATCCAAGGCGAATTCAAACAAGGTGTTGTTATCGGAGCAGCTGATTTCAAAGCAAATTGCGCTGATTGTCAAAATTATGTGTTTGTTGTACATTTTTTGTGTTCTGATTGTCATCGTGCGTATAATTTGTTAGTGTAGTTTTTTGTTTTTGTGCTGACGCTTTCACATGGTATGAATTCTATTGAAAGCAATTAAATACGTATATTTTCCACAAATGGTGTATAGCCAATTTAAGGCGACCTAAAGTTGCTGTCCGGACGTTCTTAAAACGTACCTCATTTTGGAGGGGACTGAAGATTTGCTTACAATTCAGCAAATTGGTTTATGATACAAAAAAATTTTGTATGTATAGTTAATAAAAGAATAAACAGGGATTACCACTGCATCAACTTTATCTTTCTAACGATTTTTATTATCGGACGTTCCGATTTTTTCCTCTAGGTAAAAACATAAATTTTTCTTACATATCGTTACCTGAAATGCCAAATAACGTAACAACATCGTCACTGAAATGGAAAAAGTCTTGACTTACGGCTCTATTCTGTATGAGTGACAAATTCTTGTCACAGTTTTTATTACGGAAAAATATATGGAAAAGTTTAAATTTGTCAGCAAAAAAATTTTTGTCACCGATACAGAAATTGGGCTTAACTTTTTTTTTCATAAAACGATGTGGGGAGTTGTAATTCGATGAAATCCATCATAGCAATCAAAAAGTAAATTTTGAATTTTTTATAAGTTACGTCTTTTTGCATTTCAGGTGACGATATGTACATACATATGTATAATAAACACTCTGTTCATATTTTACTACAAATGTATAATTATATTTAACAATTTTTATTGAGGCCATTTTTAATGAAAAACTATTGTGGAAAAGCAAAAACAATTAAAAAAAAATGGTAGAAGTGATAGCTATTTCGGAAATCACGACATTTCCTCATCAGACCTCTTCAGCGAGATTCGAACCGACGACCCCAGCTTACTCAGCCAGTTGCCTACGCACTGTGCTAAGTTCGCCTTATAAACTGTTGTTGCTTTTGCCACTTTTTTCATGTGAGCCAACTACAATCGAGCGCAGCTATTCCAGTGCTATTTAAACTTGATCATGTGGAGAAAAGCGTGTTACTCAGGTGTACGAGTAACTTTCTTTCCTGCTCATTTTTCATCCAAAAAACGTTCCGTATTTTTATTTGACCACTCATTATTTCTTATTTATCCATCGATTTTCTTCATCAGTAACTTGATTTTTTTTTGTAACAGAACAGGCTTTAGTACAATGCAAAAATTTGGCACAGAACCTGTTATTATTTTATTTTTTCTTCTGTTACAATTTAATTTTTTTTTTTAATTTTTTCATTAAAATTTGTTTTTTGTTATTTTTTGGCCATTTAACAATTATATTCAACAATTTTATAATGAGCTCGAGGCCATTTTTAAATGAAAAATTTATTGTGGAAAAGCAACAACAATTTGAATTTTTCATTAAAAAATAAAAAAAAAAACTTGAATGATTAATAAATTTGTCCGAAACTATCAGTCCTATCGGAAATGTGATTTTTAAATTGGTTCGTAAGATATACATGATTAAATGGAAACAATTTTTGCTTTAAACTGAATAACGGTAAATTGCAAATATGTATCTCGAAAACGTATCCATAGAAAAAAAAATAACTCGATTTTCGGAACCACCGAGCAATTTTACATAGGAATGGGATAGTGGCATCCATAGAACATTTTTGCTGTAAACCAGTGTAACTCGTGCTCAAATACCCGTAGTTGCGTATGTAACGTATACGGCCTGTGGCACCATACGCAATCATCTAACCCGTTTACTCGCACGGCTTAACGTAAAAGCCATATTATTTAAAAGTAATTCAAATGCAAAAAATATATTTAAAAAAAAGGGTTTTTTTCTTAACAGCGGTCGCCCTTCGGCAGGCAATTGCAAACCTTCGAGTGTATTTCGGCGTAAAACTGTAGAGCCCTTTGTGTGACAACATCAACGCGCACGCCACAAATCAGGGGAGAAGCTCGGCCAAACACTAACATATGTATAAGCGCCAATCTATTATTATTATTAATTAAATATTGACGTTTAAGATTTTACACAGTATTCCTTATACACATATCGCACTTTTAATAATGTACGGAATTATTTAAAACTTATAAATTTTGTGGGAAAACGCAATCCAAGTTGGATCAATTCCTACAGTTGATATACCAAAAAACAGATGGAAAGACGCATATAGTCACCATTTTTGGGAAGTTGAAAGATCAACGAACTGATTGGGCCTTATCAATATGGCGCTTTAGGCCTGGAAAATCCTCCATACACCCCCTGAGGGAGCTACTCTGTAATGCGATGCGAAAGAGAAATGCGATGCGATAAGCAAATACTTCGTAAGAAATACGCTGTGGCGGTTGCTGCGAAATTGATACGGCTGTGTAAAACGACGTTGAGCAATACCAGAATTGGGAAGGACCTCTCCGAGCCGTTTAATACCAAACGAGGTTTCAGACAGGGTCTGTTGGTGTGCCAACTGTATGATTTGATCAAACTTTGATTGCATTTTCCTACAAAATTAAAATTTTGAAATAATTCTGTATATTATTAAACGTGCGATATAAAAATTCACATATCTGATGGAGTTTTTTATAAGCCCTTGCATTTTTAAGAAGCTAATAGCAAAGCAAATCTTCCTTAAAAATGTTTACAATTCAAAACGCCCTAGGGACAGATGTGTATGTATAGCTTTGGTTTTTCGAAAATATATTATTTATATGTCGCTAAAACTGTTAGCTCAGCAGCTATCACAGTTTTATTCCTCACAGTTGCAAAAATATTACCCTCGCTAGATTATCCTTCATTTATTTATGCATTACTTAAGATAACAAATTTCATAGTCTAATAAATAATGTAATCTATCGCTTATTATAATACTTAAATACATCTTCACTTTTCAGTCGAGGATCACAATTTAACATGTAAATTTTGTAAACGAAAACTACAATCGATGAATGCGTTACGCCGTCACATAACTTCGCGGCACTCGGAAATTTCAGGAAAAGAATATGAGTGCACCATCTGCAATAAGTGTTTCAAAACAACATGGTCGTTATCAACGCATAATTCGCGCTTTCATCGGGACATGCGGGTGACAAAAGAATGTATCAAAATGGAATTTGAGGAATGCACGTGAAGTGAATATCTAAGAAGACTTACATAGGACACATCCTAATACATACACGCTTAAGTATGGAAATCCAGCATTAACTACTTGAAAGGGTATACATTTTTGTTTTTAAACCTATTTAAATTTTGGCTGAAATACCTGCAAAATCAAGTAACATGTCAAAAATCATACAAGCATTACCTTTACGTTTAAGAAACCCTATGTTTCTTTGTGGTAAATCATAAGCGAAAATACAATGAAAAAAACATTTGTGTTAAAACTAAGTGTAAAACATTTTTTTATTTTCAAACTTAATTAACAAACAGTAGAAATCAAAAATCCTCAAGACCCGGTAGTGGGAATTTCCCGCTAAACTCTTCAACATCACGACGTATTTTGCCCAGTTTTTCTGCGATTTCTTTGTTCGACTTTAAGACTTCCTTGAAATCCACCAATTTGGGGCCGGATATTTTAGTTGCTTCAACGCACAGTTTCAATGCTCGATCAATGAAGTCCGCAACAACATCAAAATCGGACTCTACTAAACCACGTGTAGTTAAAGCTGGTGTTCCCAATCGTATGCCAGATGGATTCAATGCTGACTTATCACCTGGTACTGTATTCTTGTTGCCGGCAATATTCACTTCTTCCAATATATATTCACCTTTTGCGCCAGTCAAACCAATGTTGCGTAAATCGAGCAATATCAAATGAACATCAGTGCCACCGGTGGCAATATTGTATCCACGCTTTATCAAACCGTCGCATAGACGACGCGCATTGGCGATAACCTGCTTTTGGTAGTCAACAAACTCTTGTGACTGTGCCTGCTTCATGGCGGTGGCAATGCCAGCTATAGTGTTATTGTGTGGACCACCTAAAAAAGATATAAAATAAATTAAATTATTTGTTAGTTTTGGATCATTCCGTCAGAATAAGAGGGAATTCGGTTTGGCAACAAGCCGGTTAGTGCGTTGTGTCAGCATTCCAGCTCCACGTCTCATGCCACTGATACTCACCTTGTAAACCTGGGAAAACAGCTGCGTTTATGCGTTCCTCCAAATCGTATAATACTTTTTCGCCATTTGGCAGTACCTTGCGTACACCTTTGCGATAGAAGATGACACCAGCGCGTGGACCGCGCAACGTTTTGTGTGTCGTAGAGCTAACAACATCGGCGTATTCAAATGGCGACGGAATCAAGCCAGCCGCCACCAGGCCGGCAACGTGAGCCATATCAGCAAAGAGATAAGAATCATTATCATCACAGATCTTACGAAAGCGTGCATAGTCAAGACAACGTGAGTAACAGGATACGCCTGCTATGATTATCCGTGGCCGGAATAGCTTAGCACTAGCCTCCAATTGATCGTAATCGATTAAACCCGTTTGCGCGTCCACTTTATATGGCATGCTCTCGAAGTATATGGACGTGGCAGAGATGCGTTTTTTTGCAGTCATAAAACCATGCGTTAAATGGCCACCATCGGGCAAATCTAAGCCCATAATGCGATCGTGTGGTTGGCATAGTCCAGTGTACACAGCAAAGTTGGCAGGGGAGCCTGAGTAAGGTTGCACATTTACACCCCATTCATCGGGATTGAGACGAAATACTTCGAGTGCACGCTTTTGTGCAAGACGCTCTACTTCATCGATAAATTCATTGCCACCATAGTAACGCTTGCCAGGCATACCCTCTGAATATTTATTGTGCAAGCATGAACTCAAGCATTCCAGCACCGAAACGGATGTGAAGTTCTCGCTGGCAATCATTTCCAAACCCACAGTTTGGCGTTTTTTCTCAGCCTTTATGATAGCATACAATTCGGGGTCGCCTTCGCGAATGCCATCGCTTAGTAACTTTAGATTTCCAGGCATGCTCTTATAATTAGAAAAAATAAATTAAATAAGAAATAATTACAGAGAAAACTTTAAATCTTCGTTAACGTCCATGTAAAAACATACATACATATTTATTTATAAACAAATGCCCTAACGAATACTTTTTTCGAAACTGCATTTTTCACAGATTTAATGTAGGATGTATTAAAAGGGGTGAAATTAAAAACAGGTGAAGAAATAAAACAGCTTTATCCATGGTATTAAAATACACCTTCAATAAAAATTTTGAAGTGTTAGTACCAAAAACAACGGAGTCACATGCCACTTTTTGAAAAGCCCTACCTGTTTTTAATACCCCTTTTAAAATGTTTTTTGCTTATCCTGCTTCTTTGGTTAGGGCCCTTGTGAATTAAGGTGACGATAGCTCTGATCCAGTACTCCATGAACTTACAGGTTTTTACACGAACTTGCAGGAAGTTACACAAAAAATGATCCCGTACTCCAAAATCCCTAAAAATCCTGTACGTGATTTTTGGAGAGTTGTGTAGAGAATGAAGTTGCAAGATTTTACCCGAACTTTTTCTTCTGATAAAATCATGAAAAGTGTCAAGTGATCACTGGTTGACGTTTTAACAGGAAAAATGCCTTTTTGTTCCCGTACTTTTTGTTGGTACTCACTTTTTACTCTCACTTCAGAGAGTAATTTTGCTGTTTGAAATTTTTACAGGATTTCGCACGAAAAGTATTGGATCAGAGCTAATATGTATGTATGTACACTTGTGGTAAGCTGATTAAGTCAAGTGACATTTTCAACAGTTTTGGCTATTTTTTCTTTTGTTTATTTAATGTTTAGCGCCACATAAATCCACATTTCAAACTTCGTACAAAAATTATGAAAATTCAACAAACTTTAACATTTGCACCCAAAAAGTTTAATCTTTCATTCAGAATTTTTAGAAAATATTTGGGTGTAAATTTCAAGATGCAAGAAAATTGCGTTGATTTTAATCTGTTTTTTTTTTGCTGACGAATTCGTGCATTTTCTTCCATATGAAATATGCTCGACAATTTCGTTTGTATGGGAGAAAATGCCTAGCACCATCAGCAAAAAAATTATGAAAAATTAACCCGATTTTCTAGCGTGTTGAAATTTGCATTTCAACCTACTATTTAAAATTTAATGAGCTACAAAACTGCATACCCAAAATTTTTCTAAAAATTCTGAATAAAAGATTAAAATTTTTGGGTGCAAAAGTTAAAGTTTGTTGAATTTTCACATAAGTTTTGTACGAAGTTTGAAATGTGGATTTATGTGCCGCTGATTAGGTAAAGTGCTAAACTTTTATAACAAAAAAAATATAAACAATAAAAAAACAAAAGAAAAATAGCCAAAACTGTTCAAAATGTCACTTGACTTAATCAGCTTACCACAAGTGTATGAACACTATAGATTAATAGTTGCAAAATTGTACCTCTTAATAAACTCGACTCGAAACAAAATGATACTTTCCGATTCCTATTTGAAAATATGTTGTTAGCAACCAACGAATGAAAACTTAATAATCGGAAAGACAATTTGCGAAATATTATTATGCTAGTTGTTAGTATTTTTGTTACACTGATAATAAAATCTGGTAAAAACAAAATTCTTGGACATACATCCATACATATACAAAGGGCATGGGTGATTGATTACAGACGCGAAATATTAACGTAACGACTATCACTGACGTCGGCTTCAAACGCTTGTGTCTATGCTCGAGGAAATTAATATACATACATACATACAGTTACGGTCAAAATAATAGCAGCAAGATTCAAAATGACGCTGTTGGCAAATTAGCTTTATTTATTTATTGTTAA